CTGAACTGCCTAAGTGATGTCATGGCATATCAAAGACCATGAGCATCGCTTTAACATGCCAGGCTATGAGATGATGCTGGTTTGGCTTTTGCTGTGTCAACAGTGAACTTGAGGGCTGCGGGGACAGTGGGTGGCTGGCAATGGGAACCGTTCTAGTCACCTGCAAGCCATCTGCCCAGCACATGTAAACTGGCTGCAAGCCCAAGCTGTGAGGTTTCCCTGGAGCCTGAAGTGGTGCAGAGAGCTTGTGCCCCTCTTCAGTGGGCCCTCCAAACTCAGCTGCCTCCCTCATCTAGCTTTACTTTAGGGAAAAAAACAGGCTTAAAGGTAAGATGAAAGAGCCTCTCACTTGTAGTTGTTCACAAATAAAGTCTACTACAGTAGTATGAAACTGCTGACTAACCATGCAGGGCTTTTCAGGTTAAAAGCCTCCACCATGGAAACGTAGTTGCAGAAATGGGTGTCCCAGGTGACGCCAGACCTTGTAGGAATGTCCTAAATGGGCACCTCCGCCCTGGACTCCTCAGCAGTTGCATGCCTGTTCCCCCGCTCCCTTTAGGAGAAGAGGTTAATGAACTGGAAGGGAAAGGAGCCACCAAATGACTGCTGAGAAACAGCCAGATGACCTGAGCTTGGTGACTCATGTTATTCTCCAAATGAGCACATAAAACATTTGCCCGAAAGTAAAAGCAGTACCCAGATGCTGGGAAGGCTCCTCCCGTGCCTCCAGCCACGGGCTGTCAGGCAAAGTCCGCCTTGCAGGCACTGTAAACTTCAACCAGAGAAGGTTTAAAGAGCAGGTGTTAATACGGTGTCGCAGTACTAAATAATTAAATGCCATTCTTATGCAGGAGGTCTGGGAAATTTTTATGACAGAGAGTTGGGTGTGAATCTTAATACCTCTGCTGGGCTGTGCATCAGCACACACTTTAACATTTTCAGGTAATAACGTTAGCTGTTAGGTGGCTAACGTGCACCTGGACATGCTTCCCTCCTGCCAGCCTGTTTGTCAGCGGCTCAACCACTGCTCCAAAGACAGCAGGTGACTCAAGATGCTAAAATGAGAATTTCCAGAAGAAAAATCCTTTTGCCCCCCTCCCACCTCTGTACACTCTCAACTGGCTACCGCAGTGCCTCTGTCCTGGGGACTGCCTGCCTTTGAGGAAGGAGCCTGGCTGCTCTCAAATGTCTCCATTAGCCCACAGGGACGGGAGAGATCAGTACCTGCTTTCAGAGATCGTGAAGGTGTTGGGGGGCAGTGAACCCACATAGGAGCTATGAATGCTGAAAGCTCATATAGTGGATTGCTACTAAAAATAGTTACTGCTCTGTTGTTTTAGAACATGCAACCAGCACAAAGGGGTGCTCTTGTACCTGCCCCTGGGGCAGCATGGTCAGGCTCACAGCTGTTTTGGGAGGGCACTTAATGTTAACCCGCCTCAGAGTTCAGATACAATTCCCTCCCTTCCCCAAAATGTCTGTTAAAGCAAAGAATTTATTTAATACAACAAGCAAAGGATCTGGACAGCCAAGATAAAAACCATTACCCTGTTCTTTCAGCAGTCCCCCAGCCAGATGTTGGCCACTCCTTGGGTGACAAAGGGGACTTGAAGGTTTTTCTCTTCTGGTTCCTCTTTTACAATGCTTTAGGCAAATCTGAAGTCTTAAACTTATTTATAACTTCTCACTCAGTCAAGCAGATGCAATGACTGATGTCCTCCTACAACTTTTTTCCCCAGTAACTTGCCACTTGCTGACCTATCTGCCTTTGTTTGTTAGTTTTGCTAAACATGTGGTTTACTGTCAGCTGCCGCAGCTGAGCACAGAAGCCCAACAGAAAGCAATACCTGTTTTTCGTTTCTTCATTTTCCAACCTAATACGCACACGTACTGTCTCTACCGCTGCCATGTTTTACCTAGGTATGTTTTTTGGAAATTTTTTTCTGCCTTTCAGCATTGCTTCTACTTTGGACATTCGATTACATTAAGGCTTAACTTTCCCACGGGAAGACTCTTTCTTGAGTTTTAAGCGGACTGCTTTCACCCCGTTAGGTCTCTTCCAGGGCAGTCACAACCATTGCAGTTGTGTGTGTGTGTGTGTGTGCTTGCACGTATGTGCATGCACGTGGGTAGGATGTGGGGCCTGGAAGATGGAGTTGGGTTCTCTGCTGTTGCATCCAGGGGAGTCTAACAACCACTTCCATAATTTAAGCCAGTGCCATCTTCAAGACGTTTTGGTTTCTTGCCCGCGGGCCTGGAGAGGTTATTCCAAAACCTCATACATCCTGTGCTTAGAAACCTCATTTTCAGCCTATGTTTATTCAGGATCAGTTTAGGCTCTTTTGTGCTTGTGCCTGCATGGTCCTTTGGCTTAAGTGTCCCTCTTCCTTCCTTAGCTATCCTTTCTTATCCGGCTGTGTTTGAGAGCTGATGTTTCATCCTCCTGCAGCTTTGCTGAGCAAATCAAACTGAACTGTTTCAGTCTCTCTCCCAGAAGTCTCCTTGCTCCCCGCTCCTCTGTGGGCCTGCTCACATTGAAGTCATCTTTGCTGTGTGTGGCTGGCCCAGCCTGAACGCAGCCCTCTGGATGAGGCTGGCCGGGGCTTTGTTTCATGGTTAATACTGTGTCTATGCCTCTGCTGGAAATGTTTTGCCTGATAGATTATAGGATTGCAGTTTGCCTTTTTTCTGACTGGACTTGGTGTGGACAGCGTGAATATTGTAGGTACCACTGTGAGTTTGGGGTGGGGTGGGGTATCCAAATCTATCCATTTGTGCAAAATGCACTTGGGACAGATATAATGTCTTTCCTTAGCAAAATAAGCATTTCTATTTTACTGTGCTTCATTCCCACCTAGGATGAATCAGTGCAGCCATTAATGCAGCCAAGTAAAATCCACGTCCTCCTCTTGGTCCTCCATGGAGGCAACATCCTAGACTCAGGAAGTGGTGATCAGAGCTCTAAACAAGGGGATGTCAACACCATCACAACAGTGTTTGACACGGTGATGAGGGTACATTACCCAGCTGCTCTTGGACACATTGCCATCAAGCTAGTCCCTTGCCCAGCCATCTGCTCTGAAGCCTTTTCGCTGGTGTCCAGGTAAGTTGCCGCCACCTTGTCAGAGAGACATGCAAAAATTTTACTGTTTTTTTCCATCCACGAGATGTTCTGCGTGTCGTATCGAGAGCTATGACTACACTTTGTGAATGCACTTATTAATAAACTAGTGAGGCATTCAATCTCGATTTCATACTTAGTTGTAGTGAATACAGTAATCATGCAGCAAGACTTCTGTGATTGATTTATTCTAATTAATCCAATAAATACTAAGGCTTTAATTTCTTGTCTAAGGGTTGTTCTATCAATGTAAGTATGTTATTGAAGATTTATGTTTGATGGGAGGGAAAGATTTATTAAGCTCTCACCCATGCACAATGGAATAAAGGGCCTTTTTATCTTGAGGCTTTTTTTAACGATCCGCAATACTGACTGTACTGTCTGCGAATGGTTTTTGCCACCCTGCACATTAGGCTCAGTCTTTCCAATCTCTTGTGCCCTGTGCAGCCTCAGCCCATACAGTTATGATGAAGGCTGCCTGTCCAACAGCCAGGACCACATCCCGCTCGCAGCGCTCCCTCTGCTAGCCACGTCGTCCCCGCAGTACCAGGAAGCAGTGGCCACAGTGATCGTCAGGGCCAACCAGGCCTACAGCGAGTTCATCCGATCCCAGGAGGGCACATCATTCAACGGCCAGGTGAGCCTGCAGCTGTTTTTAGCCACAATGAAAGGAAGAGCGAGTGAAGCAATTTCCTCCTGAAGCTCTTCTTTCATTAATCTCTTGGAAGGATGGAAACATGACAGTGTTGGGCTGCAATAAGGAAGTGTCGTGCTTCCCTTTCTCTCTGAGAGAGAGAGACAGAGACAGAGAGAGATTATTGCTTATGCTCTGTCTTGAACCTTTGGGATTCAAAGCAAAGCCTGAGCTTGTGTTCAGAAATGAAGCTACAAAGCTGTGAAGCTAATCAATTTTCAGCACAACACACCTTTCCAAATTAGGAGCGCTACCTCTGTTACTGAATGTGCTCTCTAGTCCAATGGCAAACCAAGGCTGTTTAAGCATTTCCGTCTTTGAAGGACCTCCAGCAGTTAGCACTGGAGTTGTCACAGAAGTGGGCTGATCTTTGAGACAACACAGCTGCTGGGCCCCCAAAACACGACACCTCTGTGAGCAGAATGACTCTGTAGCGCAGCAGGGTTTGACCTCTCAGGCTAGCTGTGCATGTGCACTGCTGCAGTGTGATTTACCCATCCGGGGTTTGTTCCCAGCCAGCACTGCACCCAGGGTCCCAAACTCCTTAAACAGCTCTTTAGTACTCAGGGGTCTCCGTGCTTTATTGTGCCTACCTGCTGAATACCCTTGGAGGCAGGACAGCGTTGTCTTCTCCCCGCAGCAGCAGGGAACAGAAGCAGCGGGAAACAGGGAAGCTTTTCTTAAGCCATACAGAAAGTTGGCAAGGAGGGAATCAAGCTCGTGTCTTGGGACTTGGGTTAGGCCCATAGTCAGTGCTCTGTATTGCTTTTACTTCTCTCCATTTGGCTGGTGGGGACAGCTAGAACACATTAGCTGTGTTCGCTAGGGAGAGTCTGCAGGGTATGAGTGGATGTTCATTGACAGAACAGTTCTGCTGATAAAAAACAGGCATCCTGTTGCCCCGCCTTTCCTAGTTATAGTGCAGCACTCCTTTAATTGTCATCCCTATTTTTTCTCCTCCCCTGCTTCTGTTGCCTCTTTCAGGTTTGCTTGGTAGGGGACTGTGTTGGAGGCATTCTGGGATTTGATGCCTTATGCTACAGCAATCAAACTGTGTCCGAGAGCCAGAACAGCAGCCGGCGAGGAAGCGTTGTGAGCGTCCAGGTAACGTTGGCTCCCGGTGTCTACTCGCAATAGGTCTGTCAGCCACGGCACCACCTCCCTAGCCCCTGATTTTAGTAAGGATCTTTTTGTGAAAGAGCAAAGACTGTTTTCCTAATTGAGGCCAGCACGTGTGTCTTAGTACACATGTGTCTCAGGGCTTGGGGGGCTTTGCTCTGAACTGAGGTGCTTCACTGCCCATCATCTCAGGCAGCCCCAAGGAAGGGTTAGTGAGGGAAGAGATTTCAGTCGTTGGGATCTCTTCATGCTCTGTGGCTCATCTGTGAGATGGGTCCAGTAGATCACGTTAAGGGTGTGCACGCACACCATTCAGAAGTGTCTGCTCTGAGGTACTGCATAGCCTGCAGCTGGATCTTGGGGCAAACGGGGAAACAAGTTGCTGGAAGGAGGAGGCTATAATGTGGTTGTATTCCTGATTCAGCTGTGAAAGGGATAAATCCATATATTTCAAACCCTAGGATACTGATCTCCTGTCTCCTGGAATAACAGTGAACAATAGCTATTGTTCCAGTGGCTCTAATCTGGAAGCCAGCAGGCACCTCAGCAGGAGCAACATTGATATTCCTCGTAGCAACGGAGAAGATCCAAAGAAGCAACTGCCACGAAAAAGGAGTGATTCATCAACCTATGAACTGGACACAATAAAGCAGCATCAGGCCTTTCTTTCAAGGTAAGATTTCAAAGGAACAGAGCCACCAATATTCTGGGGATAAGAGGGATGTACCTGTGAAACTCAAGTGTTACTTTGTCATCCTGTGACAAGCAAGGTGGAGTAAAGTGTTAAGTTAGATTAGAGGGGTATAGATTTCAGTGTGTGTGTTGTGTATATATAAAAAAAAAAAAAAGTTAATCGCAACCTGGCGCAGTGGCAATGAAAGAAACCAGCTGCTCCGCACCAGTATTACAGCGGAAAGAAACGGCCCTTCATCCTGTTGCATGACAGATGAGGCACTCAGATGGCTGCTTTTTTGCTGTGCTGCTCTTGCAGGATGGAGGACATAAAGCAAATATGTAAATAGTGTGGGTAAAGGCAGTGAAGCAGAATTGAGAAAGGTGCCCACGAGCGGAGTATCCTTTAATTTTGGCCTAGTTCAAGTGTGAGATTGGATTGCAGTGCCCTTTTCCATGTCACATGAGTAGGTCCCTGCTGCCAGGATAATGGGGTGCTCTGGAGGAGGCATCCTCAACCCTGGTTGGTTGATTCAGGGAGCAGCCTTCAACTGCAGATGAGGATTGTTCCATCTGTGGTGCCTTACATGACTTCTCTGGCAAAGAAACCAGAGTTCCCTGTATGAAGCAGGGTCATGGGATTGCATTCTGCCTCCTGCCAGGGCTGCTCCCTCGCACCAAGATCATGTTTCAAATTTGCTATTCAATACTGAAGCTCTCAGTGTCACATTGCTAAGCTTCTTCAAATGGACTTTCAGAAAACGTATCTGTTAACATAACAAACAGATGAAATTTTCATAGCAGTCTTTCCGTTGCTGCTGATTGTTCAGGGATTACTTCTGTAAGCCTGGAGGCTTTTCCTGACTGCATCGTTTTCCTCAGCCTGGGGAACTGGACAGTCCATATGCTTTTCTCCTGTTGGCCCAGAGGAATTGCAACATCATCTTAACTCCTTTTCCCCCCAACTCCCAAGTACTGGGGAGCAAAGTCCCACCCAGCAAACCCCGTTATCTGCATTACAGCTGTGTCCAAGGCTGTTGCTTTTGCCCTGTGCTGAGCGAAGGCCTGATGTGCGTGCACCTCTCCTTTGCTGCCTGCAGTCACTGCTGCGGCACAGGGATTCACGTTGTCCTCCCTTGTCACGGGCCCTTTTGCAAAGATTCATAGGAGAGAGAAAGTATCGAAGTGAATGTCGTTGGTGCGCAGAGATGCTATATTCAGAAAGACAGCCGCGTTTACAAAAAACACAATAAGCTTCTTGGCTATTTCCAGCAGGTGACTAAAACGCAATCAGTCTTGTGTTCATCCCTTATCCAAACAGCCTCCTGTATGACAGGAGAAAATACTTGTCGCACGAGTGTGCTTTCTCCTCCTTGTTCTTGAACTCGGGGCACAGACTGAGCTCAGGGAAGTGGGCCAGCATCTGACTGTGGTTTTACATATAGTTTAGGATAAGCAATGGCCTGGCATGGCTACGGGACCTCACAGTGCAGTCCCTCTTTTCAGATAGCTCTGTCCTGGTGCCTCCAGCTCCATCTCCGAAGGAACGTCCCTGCTCCCAGCATGAAGCGCTTGCAGGGAGCCTGGCAAGGGCTGTCGGTGTTCAGTGCATTGATGGATTGGTTTACCTTCGCTCCTTTGGGGTTTTCATATGCACAGCTCAAGAGCAAGATCCCCTCAGGGAAGGGGCAGGCTTCGGGCTGCGGGAGCGCTCCTTGCGTCAGTGTCCCTCGTTTCGGGCGCGGGGCTTCACCCTGTCCCCGCCGGCAGGGCAGCGGGACATCGCACCCGGACCGGTCCCTGTGCCTCGTGCTGGCAGCAGTCGCTGCTAGGCTGCACAGTCACCAGCAGAGCACCCCGCTGGGGTCTCTGTCACAAAGTAATGGTCGTTCTCCCGTATGAAACCCAAGCCTTGACGTGACACGGCTTCACGCAGGAGATTGGCAGGACGGAGCCAGGTTTCGCTGACGGGCACAGCAAACTGGCAGCTTGGCAGACGGAGGCCTTTCTGTCCGTGCCTTTTGCAGATTTCGACTTGTGCCAAAGACGCTCATTTTTATTCACGTATCAGACCTACCGCTTCTCTGGGATAAGGCCCAGCAAGCCGGAGCAGCATCTGGAGATTATAATCACACGTTTATTTTTAAATTCAGTCCTTCTGCACAACTACATTATTTCTGGCTGTGCTGTACTTGTATTATTGTAAATGAGTTGATTTGCTTCTGAAATCCATAAGCTCTTGTTTAATTAATGCACACAGTACATCTGCTGCTTTTTAAAGGGAGAACAGGGCACTGTAGGCTGCTTGGAGCATGACTGATTCAGAGTTCCCCTTGGCTCTCGTTTCTTCGGATTGCTAAAAAGACTATCAAGTACCCAGTAAAATGAGAGAAGCTGTCCAAATGGCTTAGCAGGAGAAGTGTTCTCGTTCTCTCCCGCTCCCCACCGAGGAACACCGCGGGAAGAAGGCCGGAGCGTACAAAAACCATGCAACCATCCTGCCATAACACATCTGCTCTCAGGAGAGCCTGTCATTTTGTGTTCATTTGAATCAAACTGCTGTTGTGCAGCCTGCGTTCTGCAAAACTGAACTTGTTCCTCAGTAACTTCAGCTTCGTTGTGTGCAAGGAATACAACGCGTTGCAGTCTTGACAGCTAAAACCCTGTTAGCTTCATTGAAGGTGGCTTGTTTTTAAATGTGCTCTGGCATTGCGCATCTGGGCAGGGCGATCCCAGGGAGACTCGTTCCCGTCGCAGAAAGGGGAGCGTACTCATTTTAGCTGCCGCTTGCTGGAACCTGCCATTCCCTTCACTTTTGACTTCGCTGTTTTGACTTTGTGATATGTATGTCTGGCATAAGGAAGCTTGTTGTTTTTTTGTGGTGGGTAACCAGAGAGAATAATATGTGCATGTACATGCATATGTCTCGAGAGAATATATGATAGCGCAGCATGCTGAGAAGGTTTTATTAGAATCCGTTTGGATGGCAGCAGCAGAGGTGCTGTCTCTGGGATAATGCGTTATTTACCAAAACAGGAAAATTAACTCCAACTGAAACCCATTTTTCTTCTTCCCAATCATGTGAGCATTTGCAGCCGTTCATTTTTGGAACGGCTATCCCAGAGGCAGAGCGTGTGCAAGCACAACTGCTCCAGCGCTGCCGGTGGCAGAGAGCGATGGCCCTACATCCATGCGGGCAGCAGCGCTGGGATGTCGCAGCCTGCCTGGCAGCCGGGGCACCGCTTTCAGAGCGGCCTCGCTGAGCAAGGGCTATTGCGTGCGGAGCTGTGGCAAGCGTTGGTGGCCACCTCGGACTTTGTCTTAGGGCTGCAGAGTTGGGGGGAGACTCTTGCATTTGCATCATCTCTGACTCCAGGCCACTAAAACTTTCATCCACCCAAACTGCTGTGAAATCTGTTTATCCCCCGGTTTGCAGAACGCATTCAGATGCTTTTTTGAGTCCTTTAAAACACCCCATTAGTCACTCCTGGTACTTCATCTGAAACTCTCCGGTTGTAATTGTAACGAAGTTAACCCGGCAGGGCTGCAGCCTCAATCTGTAGGACCCGGAGGGCAAGAGATACTGCAGCTCCTCGCTTTTGGGTGGTAACAGAGGAATCTCGGACAACTCCTTTCTGAGCCAGGATACTGCGGTATTACATATGGCTCATCTCCTTGTGCAACCCCAGATCCAGACCACAAAGCAGCACGGCTTCCCGGCAGGACTGGGGGCTCCTGCCTTCCCGGCCTTCTCCAAGAGCTCCTCTTTCTACTCCCACAATGTCTGAGGGGACATTTGACTTTAAATCTGTATTTTAAATCTGTATTTTAAACCTGTATATCGCCCAACTTGTGCTGCATGCAGGTTGAATTTTTCCAGGAGATTTGATGCCTGAAAGGGGGGAAAAAAGCTAGAGACATTTTGTATCATTATTATTATTATTATTTAACTGCAACTACCTGCATATGCTGGGCTGGTTGAGAGGCAGTAGAATGGTAATAGCTTGGCACATGCGGCCTCATGGGCAAAAGAGAGGTGGGAGTGTCCTGGGTGCATGATGAACACAATTTATGACGTGGTCACCGAGTTCATTACCCCAAATTCCCCTTCCCAGCATGTGCGGTATACATGCATGGAAAATATGGTGTAAACTTGGTGCACAAGGATATTAGAAACTCTCTTGCAGATTTTGATCTTTCTTTCTCTCTTTCCCTTCCCATTTTCTTTTTTTTTCTTTTCTTTCTTAATCCTGTAACATTTGTCCAACTACTTCCATGAGGAAGAAATGGGTAAGCACAGCTTTCTGTAACATTTGAGAATAAGGTGATGAAAGGAACTCAAATGTGACAACCAGAGAGCATAGCAGTAATATGTGTAATGAAATAAATCACTGCAAATCTGCTTTTTTCTCCCTGATGTTGTAGTAATTTTAGTTTGCTGGGGGCTTTTTTTTAGCTTGCAAATGACTGTTATACTACCAGCAACCCACGTTTTGACTCCTCAAAAAAACACTTTGAGGAGATAGGAGGAGTGTGTAAATGAACCCACTTGGAGCTTAAATTTTTATGGTCTAAATTATGCCAATGAAACGGAGGGACAGTTTGCTGGCTAGTAAAACTACAGTGCAGAGGCATGGTGGATTGATTGGCACAGTTCCTTCACTAAAGTGATAGAAATTATCCTCACTGTCAATCACTTACCCAGGCTTCAATGAAGAAAAAACATACTGAAGGCAGTTTTGACTTTCTTCCTGCTTTTGTCCCAGTTTACATTCCAGTGTTCTGAGAAACGACCCGGGATCCAGGCGATCTAGTAGCTCCACGATGTTGGACGGAGGAAATATTGGAAAGTTTGAATTTGAGATCACGGACTTCTTCCTCTTTGGTTCTCCCCTGGGGTTGGTTCTTGCGTTGCGAAAAACTGTCATCCCAGCTCTTGACAGTAAGTTCTGCTGTAAAGCGCTGTGCTCACTGAGTGGATGGTTTAAGCGCTTCTTGCTACAAATCCAGTAATCTGATGAGACAAACTGTAACTGCAGGTGAAACCAAGTAGGTATATATAATATATACTGCACCATAAGGAAGCAGAGCGCTGGCTGCTCTAGCCAATGCTGATTAAACAATCTATTTGTGATTTATTTCCAAACATTAAAAATAAACATTCAAAAAACTGCTCAATAAATAAATAAATATTGTACCAATAAATTTTTTCAGTTGACTGAACTGGAATATGAGAAAGGTAATTAATCTTTGGTGCTTTCTTTTCTTTTTTTTTTCTTTTCTTTTCTTTTTTTTTTTTAAGCCTGCAGTAGTCTGTTTCACGGAAATATTAATGATAATCTAACAAATAACCCTGTGATGTGGGAAAATCTCTAATTTTTTTTCTCTCCACCTCTTCCTTCAGTCTTTCAGCTGAGACCAGCTTGTCAGCAAGTCTATAACCTGTTCCACCCCGCGGATCCGTCTGCCTCCCGCCTCGAGCCTCTGTTGGAGAGGAAGTTCTACCTGTTGCCACCTTTTAATGTTCCCCGCTACCAGAGGTTCCCGCTGGGTGACGGCAATTCTGCTGTTCTGGGTAAGTCCCTTGGGGTCCATATTAGCTGCCAAAAGGGTTATAGCCACCCTTTACATGAAAGTGCCAAAGCAATTGGGAATGACAAGAAAGAGAATTGGCCCTGTAATGCTAGCTTTGTTCCCGATTTATCAGACAAGTAGTTTTCTTCCAACAAAATTGGTGCCCTGTGACCCAGTTTCCCCCTTGTTTGTCACGCAAAGGCCATCAGCCTCTGAGCGTCACCGTGCAGTGACCTCTCTGCAAAGGTCCCCATTTTACACCCTAGCCAGTGCTTGTAGCTGGGGCTATTCTGTAGTAACGAATCGTGATCAACTTGGCTGAGTTTTAGGAGCTTGATGTTTTGGGGGCCAGTAAAGACTGGAAGGAGCAGAGTCAACAGTGAGGTCATGAGATGATTTACTTGGTTGCACCATGTGCTTTTTGGTGGAACCAGGCAAAAGACTGGCTGCTGCAGTTTGCTGGGCTGGTGACAGTGCCTTGCCCTTACCAGCTTGCCAAGGAGATGCTCTGTTTTCCTAGGAAAGATTTCTCTGCCATCAGTGGCCTCTTCACTTGCTCTGCCCCAATTGCAGTAGTAGCAAAGTCTAAAATGGCTGTGTGCATGCCCTTTTGTCTTACTGGGTTGCATTGAAACAACTGTGTCCTGACCATGTCCTGCCTCAGCTCCCATTACATCAATGCTCTTGCAGCTGATCTAATAAAATAAGTTGTATTTCCTACCATCTTCACCTCACTTCTGTGCCTAGACTCTCATGGTCTGTTGCCATTTCAGTGCAGGCTCTCATTGCAAGGAGCTTTCAGGGAAGCTCACCGCTGTGCAGAATTAAATGAAATTTGACCTTTGTGCTTCACCTAAAGCTTTGGTTCCCTGCAGGGTCAAGGCTTTGGGGCAGAAAGAACAATTGCACCGTAATTTTTTCTGTGTTAGAGGTTGTCAGTCAAAGGCTAGGAGTCACTGCCATAAAACTGGGTTTACAGCACACAAGAAATTCAAGCTGGCAAACCAGAGTAGCATATCAAAGCCACCAGCTACCAAGGCTGTTTTTTCAAAGCTCTGGTAACTTTCCATTTGTTGAATGTTTGAATCATGCAGGACTCAATGAAGAGGAATGTATATCTAGAGAGGAATAATTCTGGTGCTGTGCATCGCTTTAAAATTGAAAATGCAAAGCGGTGGTCTCCTCCTGGTGTTTCTGTACCTTTAAATACTGTATTTTAATTGCTGAACCTGGAGGTCTGATTTGTTAAATGGGCATGAACTAAAACCCATGTTTAATAAAGCAAACGGAATACTTTCTGCACTCTCCCCACTCACTCTTCAGATTTCACAAAGATTTTGCCACAACGCTTTTTTAAAATGGATCCACCCACAATTACATTTGTACCAAGTCCAGTTAAGCTGAGAAAAGCTCAGGGAATCTATAGCAACTTGAAAAGCAGTTTGCTGCTTGGGTGTATTTTAAGTATCAGCTGCAAGTGGCTTCTTAGAAAAATCATAAATATCTTACCTTCTTCCTCTTAAATCCATTTAAAATCCTCTGTTCCCATTGAAGCCTGAGGCAAAAACCCCATTGACATTGAGAAACCTGCATTCTGGTTATTGTTCTGTGCAACAGCAGGGATCTTATTCGTTTACTGTGCCTCCCTGGACCTTTGTTAAGTTGGCTGTGTCTGAGTTTGGAGAGACACTTGCGATATAATGGAGAGGAGTTAAACAGCAATTAACTAACAAGATATGTAGAGTGATTCCAAAACTCTCTCCGGGTTTGTTATTAGAGGACATGCTGCTCTGCTGTGATGAATAAAGCTGACAAAAAAGCAGCTTTAAATTCTCTTCTCATGTAAGACAAAGCCTCTTCATTTGCTTATCGTAAAGTAACAGGCTATTCCTTTCCATTAGAATCAAAATTTCAATGTTGTGATTTACACGTTACCCTGAAGGACTGTTCAGACCATGATTTGCAAATCCAGTCCTGACACTAGAGCGTGCACTGTAGGGCCCTCCAGGAACCTTAATTGCTCCTGTAATTAAGGTATGTGATTTGGTGATCACGTAAAATTCAGGTGCTCAATTATAATTAGTTATATACAAAACCCGTGGCACTGCTTGTGCATGTTTCCTCTTGCAGATAGCTAGCTTTTCAAGCCCATAGTTCAGAAGGCTTCTGAGACCCTTTTTCTTTTCTTTTCTTTTCTTTTTTTAACCTTCTCCATTTTCCCATCTGTACCAAGTGTTGAGTCCCCGTTTCATTACAGCCAACTTGCGGAGTGAAATCAAATTCACATCCCTGCTCACTCCTGTGCTTTGCAGCGTGTAGGCTGTGAGTCTGACTCAAGTAAATCTCCCCTCAGAGTACACTTCTGTCCTCGTAGTAAAAAGATTTCCCTGGATCTGCCGGGTATTTATGGATCTGGCTCGTTTGGAGAAGCCGGTTAAGAGGAGCTCCTCCTCTTTTGTTGTTGAAATGCCATCCTTGGGCTTTCCTCTGCTGCCAGTTAAAATCTCACTGGTGTGGGTCTATTTGGAAAGTCACCCAGGTTTGTTTCTTCTCCTCTATTTGAAGGTTGCCCTTTCACAGAAGACCCTGATCCATAGTTGAAGTGCTCGGTTGTAACTGTTTGTATGTTAACACTTTGTGGCCACATGTCTGTTGTTCCTTGTCCTTCTGTTTTTCTTCCCCATCTGCTTCTAGTTGAGACAATCCAGAACAATCCCATCCTGCTCATGGAAAGCAGCCCTTTGGGTGCTCTCCAGCACCAGGACAGCTTCATGGAAACAAGTATCCCTGTTCCCGTTCTGAATTGGCAAGATGTTTCCAATAAAAGTGCTGGTTTTGCTGAGTGTGTGTAACCTACACTTTTGTATTGTCTGTGGTGTTGGGTACTTGGGGTGCTTTTTGGAGATCGCTCTGTTGCCTCCTGGAGCTGAAATCTTCACGCTGTGTCTCAGGCTGTGCCACACGAAATGACTGCCCAGCTCTGGGCGACTGCCGCGAAAAACGGCGAGCGGCAGTTGCGAGCGGTCGCCCTTCCCGGTGCTACGCTGAAGGGGAGCCTGGAGCCGCGTGCCTTCTGGGGTGGCCTGTAGCAGGGAGCAGAGTTTGTCTCTTTGAGTATTTTCTGTTGGGACACTTCTTGTGGCTCTGCTGAGTACAGCGAATGAGGCGTTCAGCCCCCGAGGTGGCTTTTTTAAATTAATTTCTCAATTTCTGCCTTAAAAGCAAAGTTTGATGTATTTGGCTTACTTTATTTTCCGTCATAAATGCTGCATGGCCTTATTCTGGTTGTGGCTGGTGCTACATCTGCAATTTTAATGAGACTTTAGACTTTTAGTTTGTTCCTCACACTGTGTCTTACTTGTGCCTTCTTGCCCTTTTTTCAGTATTTTGTATTGAGAGCTTGTTTCTGCTGCTTTTTATTTTTATTTTTATTTTAACAAGCTGACCCTTGCTGTTTCTGAGCAGTCCAGTGTGTTATGTGGTCATACAAAATGGTAACATTGCTGATGACACCAGACAGTCTCTCCTTCTGTCTTTTGAAGATGTTAGCTGATTTTTAGGTATGCTGTTGCCACCTTGCTGGTGTTACGATGTTCTGAAAGGAAGCGGAGGGAAAGGATCTGGCACTATTAATTAGTTGCTTTGGAGGTCGCTGATGAAATGCCATTTAGCTGTCATCTGGTATTTCCTGCTGCCCGGACGGTGCTTTCAGAAGCTTCTCTGCTCTCTGCCCTGTGTTTCAAGAGCACAGCGTGGCCAAGCAGTGCTGGGTTCGACTGCAGCAAGTGCTGAATCCCAGTTCAACCATTGGCCTGAGGGAGATTTGCAGAATCATAAAAACTTATGGACAATCGAAAGCTGTGTCGCTCTTGAGCTCAGGGTAGCAACTCCAGTGCGCTCAGCGCTGGTCAGGGTCTCCAGTGCGCGCAAGGTCTGGCCTGCGCTGAGCACCTGGCTGGCTATTTTATTTTATTATTTTATTTCATTTTATTTATTTATTTACTTATGAACGTCACATATTTTTGACTGCTTTCGGTACTCCCTGCTTCAGTGCCGCAGCTCAACCCGCACATAGCACATATTGGAATCTGCCATTCAGATACCCCAAGGACTTAACTCGGTGCCAGCAGTACCTTAGGAGAACAGCCCCGAGCCGTTCGGTTAGTGGGAAACAATGAGCAAGAACATTGACAAACGAGTCGGTGAATGAAAAGGCGCAGCATTGAATTGGGTAGTCGAGATCCCTAGCGAGGCCAAAAAAAAGCAATTTTGCTCCTGTGCCCGCTTTTCTGGAAGTGCAGTAAAACCTCGGTTCCTCGCACGGCCCTGAGCGGTGCGTGCCGGGAGGAGGGCTGATCGGGGTGCTGCTCTAGCCGGGTCTCCCGGTTCTGAAGCTTCCTTGTTCTCATAAAGTCTGCCCTCAAAAAAGGTACCGAGTACACCTTTGAAAGGCAGAAAACGTGACCGCGCTGGAGCAGCAACTCTTGCAGGTGCTCAGGTCAACCCATGCCGCCACGGCAGCATCTAAGGGCGAGGATGGTGCTGCACGCGGGGCTGGGTGCGAAGCGTGCGTGGAGTTCAGGAGAAGAGGCTGCGTCAGGCTTTTTCCCATGAGGGAGTCCCGTCCTAGGGCCTGACCCGTAAGTCGCTGTCGCCGCAGCTCTGCGGATCCGGGAAGCTCAGCTGCAGCGGCAGCCGTGCGCAGGAGAGGCTCGCTGTCCTTGCTTCCCCCCCTGCCTCTTCCTGGCCGTTATTGCTCTTCAAAACTGGCCTGTCTTGAGGACAGAGGCTGCGGTGGTTGAAAAAAGAGAGCTATTTCGGCATTTCTGGAAACGTGAAAGCAACACGAGTGGGCTGGAGCGCAGGAGCGCTGCTGTCAGCCTGCGCCTCAGCCCCGGCAGAGCAGGCTCCTGCCACCGGCGCGGGCAGCATCGAGCTGAACGGTGTAGTAACACCAGAACGGAGTGAAAATTGCTCCCAGGGCTGCTGCGCTTTGTGCTTCACACCCATCATGTTCAAAAGTCCAGTGTCAGGCCTGGAAAAGGGAGACTGACTAAACAGAGCAAGCCCAAAACACTACTATTTTCCAATATTTCCCTCCAGCTCCTTCCTACTTCAAGGCACAGCTGGTTTATTTTTGAGGAGGAGGAAGAAGCTCAGGCTTAGCTGGTAGGTGTTAGCTAACCCCGAAGAGAGCTCGGTGTTTTTGCTAGCACGGACAAAGCCAGACCTTTCCCTGCCTCTGACTGAACGCAGGGGCAGCTGACGGGGCACCAGCTCGCCTTGAATTTCCTCCTCTTGCTCAGGCGGATGCTTTCTGCGGTAAGAAAGCGGTGCTGGCTCGGTGAGGTTGGCTGGGCTGTGGCTGCTGGTAGCAGCCCTGACAGCCAGCCGCTCCGTGCAAGGCGAAAAAGGAGGAAAGCGCTGAGAAAGCGATGCTGGCGATGGCCTTTCAGGCACAACGTGGGCGGTGCGTGAAGCTCGTCATCAGGTCAGGCTCCTGCTAGGCCTCGGGTCCGGCAGTCTGCGGAGCTTTTGCACGGAGCAGCTTGTGGCCTTGTTTTCCCTGCGGAGAACAGATCTCTTTTACCGACAGTTATCTGCGCGTTCTCCGCTCCGTAGGTGCGCTTTGCCCGCGGTGCAGCGCGGTTGTGCGGGCGCAGACACCGCTGCTGCGAGCGCAGAGATCGGAGGAAGCAAATCAGGAGCCCCAAGCAAAAAGATCAATGATAAAACAAACCCGTTGCCAGAACAACTCCCTGTGTTAACCACATACTGGGATCAAATCCAGGGACATTTAAAGTGGCTGGAATAGGTGGCGGGTGTGGTGCGTGGGAGTAACGTACTTGCGTTCCCCGTGGCATGGGCTGCCCACGCGGGCACAGACCTTTGCCCTGTCTGAAACGCGAAAAAAGTTCAGGTGCTGCCGCTCAGGTGCAGCAGAGATGGGCAACGGGCAGTGACAGTAACTAGCTTTGCTCGTGCACGGTACTGTCCCACCGTGCCGCCCGCTGTGAAGTCCTCGTAGGAGATCCTTGGCCGTGCAGGAGCTTGGGACACGCTGGAGACATTTAGTTGGGCCTTGCAGCAGCCACGGGCAGGTAGATGCTCTTTCCACCAGCTGCAGGGAGAAAACTGAAGCGTAGAGCTCTTATTTTGACTTCCAGCATCTCTTGGTTTGCCAGTCCTGAGCATTTTTAGGTCCATTTCTCTCTAATACTCATAGAAAATCCACATGAGCGTGCTCAGCACCAAACTCCTTTTTTTCAGCAGCCCTTCTTTTAGTTTAACGAGTGTTGGTTGTATCCGTTAGCAATAAAACACAAGTTTAAATTTAGTCCCTGCCAGGCATGAAAATGTTTTCTTGATATTTTTGTATTAGCACTTTCCCCCTTGGAGATGTTGATTTAAGAAGTCTAATAAACGTTTCAAGAAAACATATCTGCTTTTGTAGGGTTATGTTGTTCCCCTTCCCTTGATTATTTTGTCTCAATGTGAATGTATAAAGCTGTATATATTCACATTTGTACGTATGACACATGCTTCTGCTATTGCTGCTTGAATAAGCCTGCCTTGATTTTTGTTTGGGGTTTTGGATGTGTTTTTTGAGCTAATTATTTTGCTTTTCTCAATCAAAGACTGCTCTTGCAGCCACATGTCTCTTTGCCTGCTGTGGTGTTGGCTTTCTTTTCAAAGCAGAGCTCCAATGAAACGTTTTTCATTCCAATCACTTTCGTGCCTCCTCTTCCTCCTCCTCTCGAGTTCATCTTGCCCAGCCTCTGTCTGTCGGTCTAATATTTTGATTTCCCTGTTTCAACTTTGTAGCAGATGTTGTTCAGTCTCATGGTGCCGTCTTCATGGAAAGCGCGTCCCTGTCCACCCCCATGTCCGCCCCTCAGTTCAGGGGCTTCCGGCGTGCCAGTGAGATCAGCATTGCCAGCCAGGTCTCAGGAATGGCAGACAGTTACACTGCTTCCAACATAGCCAACAGTAAGTGTTTCCCCTCTCCGACGCTGCCGCCTCGGCGCCACGCACCAAGCCGTCCCGCTCCGGGACAGATCCACCCGGCTTCTGTCCGTCTGTCTGTCTGTCTGTCTGGGGTTTTGTTTTCAGTCGAGAGCGAGAAGGTGGAACTAGTCCGCCTTAGCCTGGTTTTGTCCTGGCCGGCGTTATCGTATCCTTCGGAGGAACGGATGTCTTTGGATGTGACACGGGGGCCGTCACGCTGCTGTGCACGTTGGACTCTGCCGGGGATTATGGGTGTAAATTTGTTCCAATAGTTAAAAAAAAAAAAAAAGGGTTTTTTTGGACTGATCAGGCTCAGCGCCGCGTTTGGCTGCTGGGTTTGGCTCAGGTTAATCCGGAGGGATGTTTGTGCGCTGCCTGCGGTAGGAGACTGGGAGCTGGCAGGGACGTGCCCTGCTAGATTAGCCACGCAGGCCGTGGTATGCGGCTCGATGCAGATCGTTTAAGTGTGACCCACAACAACGGGGGTGAATAAGCCCTTCCGTGATACTGAGAAGGACAAGCAGAGCTTTGGGTTATTACATTAGAAATTCAGCCCTTCTGTAGCTGGCAGAGCAGCTCAGAGAGTCGGCCAAGTTACGACCCCGATGCCAGAGCTGAGTGGTGAGTAAAAGGGCTTTTGTGTTTTGTGGAGACCTAAATAACCTCCCCAGCTAATACAGCGGGGAGCAGCAGCCTTCGTTAGCGGTTTGGCGTGTTCCTCGTTTCAGCCGAGGTGCGAGATTAACAGCGTGTTGTCCTTGGGGACCTCAGATACAGACATTGGACAGAAAGAGGCTGAAAAACAAATTTTAAAAAGCAAAGAAGCTTTCAGCCCGACCTTTGTCCGGTCAGGTGGTGACGATTCAGGGCTGCGAACCGCTCCGTTCATAATGAGTTCCTGGGGCAGACGGGAGCGTCCCGAAAGCCCTCGGACGGAGGCCGCGGCGGGGCGTGGCGCCCCGGCCCGGCTGGGGG